CCCCGCCGGCCGCGCCGCCCGGCCCCGAGCCGGGACCCCGGGGGTGCGGGCAGCATCACCCCCGCCCCGGGCCGCCCCCGCACACAGCTCGCCCCCGGGATCCCGCAGCCTGGGCTCTGCTCTGCCCCCGCAACACCGCGCCCGGGGCCGTCTCCCGCCCCAGGGACACTGAAGCCCGGCTCAGCTCCTCCTGGGAACCTGCACGCTGGGTGATTTCGCACCACGGGCTCTCCTCCGCCCTGGGGACCCCGCATCCTGTGCCGCCCCTCTTGGGAACTTGCACTCTGGAGACCTCTCGTGCTGGGTGGTCCTCTCCATTCCCGTATTGTCCCCTGCCCCACGTCCTCTACATCCAGGGGACGTGGCACACCTGGCTTCCTGCGCCCTCCGCTGTCCCCGTGTCCAAGCTTTCCTCTCCAAGGACACGGCACCGTGGGCTTTGCCCTACACACCCAGCCATGCCCTCGCTGCTTGCGCAAGGGGTCAGTGGACACAGCCTTTTCGGGGGCCTCTTTGCTGCCCATCTGCTCCTCTATCTCCACCATTCCTAAGTCCCCGGTCCTTTCAGAACCCCGCAAGTGCATTTTCCAGGAGGTTTTGCCTCTGTGTGAGCCCACAGCTGGTTTTGCACTGACCCGCGGAGGGCTCTGCAGGGGCTCCCAGGCAGGTCCTAATGCTCCTGCCAGGACAGGCAGCGATTCCCCGTCCCCGGCGCTGCCCCCAGCCTGGACCAGCACCGCGCTGGAGGGGTCTCTGTGCCAGAGCAGCAATGGAGAGGGCGCAGGGCCTGATTCCTGCAGGCTGGGGATGTTGGTGGATGTTGGATGCCCGTCCCAAGACAAGCCCTTCAGGCAGCCCGTGGATGACCCCAGAGGGACACGGGACAGGGTGCCGCGGGCCCTGGCGGTGCCGCCCGCTCCCCCCACGCCCTCCTTACACCAGCATTTCCGAGCGAGGCCAGAGCCGGAGCCGCCCTAAGAGGCTGTGAGAGTTTGGGAGCAGCTGTGGAGCAGCTGCCGGGGCCAGCGCGGGGGCTGGGGCCGGGGCAGGCGCCCCACAAGCGGCTCAGATGGCTCTGGGGGTGGATGTGGTGGGACCCTGCTCAGGGATGTGGTGGGAGCTGAGCCTACCGCCGCCAGGCTTTGTTCTCGGAGCAGCGAGGCTGCAGCCCCTCCCCAGGCTCCACCTCCGCAGCCCACCCGAGACCCTCCTTCCACTGCCTGTGCACAAGCTCCTCACATGGTGCGCAGAGCTGGTGGGCAAGAGATGCCCTTGGTAAGGCGCAGAGGCACCTTGGGTGGTAGAGGCACCATCGGGACGGCCCAGAGGTAACAGGGAACCAACCAGAACCAAGCCCCCCATGAGCACAGACCTCGCAGTGGCACAGGGGGATGCTGGGCTCTCTCCAGGGGAGAGGCAGGCTGGCTGTAGCACCCTGGCCCTGCTCCACAGCTGGGCACCCCGGGGCTGATCTGGCAGAACCTGTTCCCAGACCGTGCTACCCCAGCAGGCTCCGTCCCGCACCACTGCCTGCCCCTGCCCCTTTCCCACCCTCCACTCACGGGTTGCTGTCCTGCCAAGCTAGGGTTGGTTCAGGGGCTGCCCACGTGGGGCCACAGCCACCTCACCTTCCCCTGTGCTTCCTCTGACCTTGGCTGCACAGCTGGGACTCACACACGGGCACTCAGCCCTGCTCCTGCCAGCCCTGCCAGGCAGGCACCAGCTGTTTCTGTCCCTTGTTGCACCCGTGTCCTGCTGCTTCTCAGTGTGACCATCCTGTTGCTGTCATGTGCCTCAGCCCCAGCCCCAGTCTGTCTTTATCCCTCGACTTTCCTCACCCCACCTTTGATGTGTTTCTGCACTCCTGGAACTGGCAGTGAGAAGACGTGGCACCGCAGCCCAGATCTGGGTGATGCCAGGAGGCATTTGGCTTCCCACAGCCAGCTCCTGCCCCCGGCAGAACCTTCCAGTAGATGAGCAAGACAATTTTCCTTACAATTGCTCATCATGGCAAGAGCTGCAATTATTAATGACCATTCCAGCTGTCAGAGTGGAGAGGGAGGAGAACACCCACTTCCCCACACCCGCTGCCCTCGAGCCAGTTCCAGCTGGAGGTGCTGGTGTGGGCTCACACCCGTCCTTCGGGACGGCAGCTGCATCGCGTGAGCGAACGCTTGGCTGCTCCACGCTGGAGAACGCCCTGAGCTGGTGCACGTGGCCCATGCGTGCCCCATGACTCCTCAACCCCTCTACAGTACTCAGGCGTAAGGACCAGAGGACACTGCAAGGTACAGAGGGACCCCACTAAGGTCTGACCCCTTCCCCATCTCCCCTTGCTGCATTTTGCCCCCCAGATTAATTACCGCCTCCATTAGCGGTCCTGCAAGCTACAACAGGGATGACCCAGTTGACACAAGGGGTCAAGCCTGGGCTCACACAGGCAGAGGAGGAGAAATGTGAGGCAAAGAGTTTTCCCTGGAAAGCTGGAAGGAGCTGAGTCAGGCCCCAGAGGGAGCGGGATGAGGGCAGAGCATGACCTTCCCAGCCGGCCGCACCTCACTCGTCAAAACCACTGGCCTGGAGACAGCCGGCACTTGCAGAGACGTGTTTATTAAAGGCACTAAAAGCACCGTGGCTGCATCAGTGCAGCCCGACCGGAGGGTGTGGTTTGGGGGGAGGCATCGGTGGCCCCAGGATGGCAGTGGCAGAGAGCTCTTTGGTAGGAAGCTGTGCCCAAGCCTCACAGGAGCAGCCGCCTGGCTGGGCTGGCATCAGCACACGCTGCCAGCGCTCAGCTGGGCCACGCTGGGCTGGGGGTGATGCCAGCCCCAGGGGAGAAGTGGGCCAGCAGGGTGGGGGGCAGGAGGGACAGACACCCCTGGAATGCAAGCGGGGCAGGAAGGCACCGCAGCAGTTTGAGGGGGGGCTGGTGGGTTGTCATGGGCAGGGCCCCAGGGCTGGGTCTCCAGCCCCAAGCACACAGCAGGGAAGGCTGGGGAGAGTGAGACAGAAGCTGGTCCTCACCCATTCAGGGAGGGATGTGTAAGGAGTATCCCTGCCCCAGCACTGAGCTGCCAGGCAGCAAGGGAGCAGCCCAGCTGTGGCAGACCCTCTCCAATTCCAGCCTCAGCATGGCTGTACCCACCATGCTGCATGCCTCAGGGGCAGGAGATCCATGCAGCATCCCATTCCCAGGGCTCCTAGGGCCAGTTGAGAAGCATGTAAGAAGCCACCCAGCTATAAAAGGTTCTGGACCCAGCACTGTATCTGGCTGGAGTTGAGCCAGGAGCTGCCAGGAAAGAGGCAGGAGCAAGGGAAAGGGCCAAGGGCCCAGCCTGGCTCCCTGGGGCCAGCAGGGCAGGGGGAGAGGAGCATGCAGGGCCAGGGGCATGTGTGGGCACAGCTGAATTCACACCCCTCACACATGGGAGAAAGCGTGGCTCTTGCACAGCGGCTTGTCCTTCTTGGAGTAGAACGTCTTCCCTTCCAGGTTGGTCTGGCAGATCTGGGGAGGAGAGTGGAGGTGGTCAGGTTGAGTCAGCCTCTGGGTCCCCCACAGCCCAGCACTGGTGTCACAGAGGGACCTCCACATGGCCCTGGGGCACTGCCAGGGACCGGAAGGCTCAGAGCAGAGTCCCAAGCTCCCAGAATGGAGGCAAATGGGAAAAAATCTTGTGGCAGCAGGTCCCCTGAGCTGCTGGTGTACCCCACCCAGAGCAGGACTGTGGGGGAGAGGCACAGGCCCTGCAACAATCAGGGAGGGAGGCACACTGCTCACCGCACAGACAAAGCAAGTGTCGTGCCAGCTGAACCCCAGCGCCTCCAGGAACCGGTCCCCAGCATCGATCTTGAAGTCACAGCCGCGGCACTTGGTGCCAAACATCTTCTCATAGTCTGTGGGGAAAGGCAGAGGCCAGGTCAGCACTTCCATGCACTACAGCTGCTCATCCCAGGGGAGCAGGGCTGCAGCTCAGCAGGGATCCCACAGGCACAGCCTGGGGACAACTCTGCCAGCCCACATCCAGGTGAGATAATGCCCCGGATACCCGGGAAAGGTGCAGGGTGGCTCAGCCACCACAGGGCTCCAGGGGGAGGAGGAGAACCTCATCTCCCAGGATGCAGCACTCGCTTTGATGTACATCCTCCCTCATTGCCATGGCAACATAGGAGCATGGCACTACCCTGCAGCTAGGGAGAACCAGGATGGAGGGCTCAGGGCTGTGGGATTGGGGTCTCCGTGCTCCCCACAGCCCAGGGGAGCCCTGTGGAGCAGGGCAGCTCATGCCCCCAGCCCCGTGTGCAGCTGCTGAGTCCAAACATCACCCCAGGGCCACATGAGGTGACACATGGGGTCCCTGGGTCCTACCTCTCTCGCAGTAGGGCTGTCCCTCCTCCATGTAGAAGGCTCGGTTGCGGATGGGAGTTTTGCAGGCGTTGCAGGTGAAGCACTGCACGTGCCAGGTCATCTTCAGTGCATGCATCACCTCCTGGAGGGGAGACACTGTCAGCCAGGGGCAGGATCACCAAGGGCAGGAAGGGACAAGGAATCTCCTGAGATGGACCAAGGCGGGAAGGGACAGAGGCAGGCACTCACAGCAGAGGACAAGGACAGGAGATGGAGGACAGCAGGCTGAGGGACACTCACCCCAGTGATCTTCTTCTTGCACTTGGCGCAGCTGGGTGCATAGCGTGTGTCGTAGCACTTGGGGCAGAAGATGGAGCCTTTCTCCTCAAAGAAGCCGCCCTCATCCAGCACCTTCCTGCACTGGCAGCAGAGGAACTCCTCGGGGTGGTAATAATGTCCCAGCGCCACGAGGTACCGTCCCCTGGGGCAGGACAGAGCTGTGTCAGCCTCGCCGGGGCCCAGGACGCTGGCGTGGCCGCGGTGGCGGCCAGGGCTCACCTGATGACCTTGTTGCACTTGTAGCAGAGCGGGGTGCGGCCGGGCCCCTCGGGGGCTTGCTGGGCTGCCTGCACGATGGAGCTGCGGTTCTGCATGGGGGTCGGCGTGGCCGGCTGGCTGTGCTTGCTCACCACCGTGCTCGTCTTGTCCGGGGCGTAGCGCTCGGCAAACGAGGGGTCCACAGCCCAGGGTGGGCGGCTGGTGGGGCTGGGGGTGGCACTGGGGGTCCTGGGGGCTGCACACACACACAGGTCTTAAGGAGAGTGTTTCTGATCCCTCAGCAGCCCCTCCCCAAAAAGCCCAGAGATGTTTTGCTCACCCAGTCCTGGCTCAGTCTTCATCGTTGCTCCTGGGGATGGGTCCGGCACAGAGACCTGGCTACAGAACAAGCAGTTAATCCAGCCTGCCCTGCTCGCCCCCACTGCCCAGGGGCTGCAGGCAGGGCTCCCCACCCCAACAAGCAGGAGGGAGCTGGCCAAGCCCCCATGCCCAGCAGTAACTGGTTTAGTGACGAGGTACTGAGACCTGGGCCTTCAGTCCTGCCAAGACACAGCACCCCCAGGGTGTCTGGTACCCACTGTGGTGGTCTGGGGAGAGGCAGGAGGGAAGGTTCTGAGCTTCTCCAGGGACCCCAGGGACCACACAGACTTTGGCTGCCTACTAATATGTGATGATCACTCCCAGTCTCATTGGGGTGCAGGGGGACCTGGATGTGACCTGATGCAGGGAGCCCCAGGATCCAGCTCAGCAGCACTGGGAACAGGCAGGGCAAGCAGGAGATGGCAACAAACCCAACTTTTGTTTGTGTCAGAGCAAACTGAGCAGAGCTGGTACCCAAGGGCCATGGCCCCAGGGAAGGAGATGTCACAGAGAGGTAAAGGCAAAAAAATGGGGTGCTGTCCACCCCTTGCCTGATTGCACAGAACAAGGAACAACCCTGACAAGCTGCTGGCATCCACGAGCTCAGCTGCCCCACAGCCCCACACCAGGCTTATAGGACACTGTGCCCCAGGCCCAGATGCTGCCCAAACATCACAACAACCCAGTGAGATTTGGCCAGTGCCATCAGCCATTCCCAACCCACCATTTCTGGGACACCACGGCGCAGCTCAGCATTCCCAGCTGAGGGGCAGCAATGCCCAAGGGGTTCTGCCCAGGACGTGCAGCCCCCCAGCTCCTGCTGCCACACACTCCCCTTACCTGGGCTTCCTAACAAACACATCATCATGATCCTCCACTGAGCGCAGCAGGAGAGAAAGGAGGAAACAGTCAGTCCTCACAGACCGAGGCCCAGGCACAAGAGGGGAAAGGGAAAAGAGGAAAACCAAACTCTCCTCCCACCAACCCCTGCCCCAAAACAAAGCCCTGCCCGGCCAGAGGGCAGATCAAGACCCCAGACCGGTGTCACCACCACGAGACCACGCACAGCCCCACCAGCTCCCACTGACACAGCCACCCCACAGGGATCACATGGGGCCAAAACCGACACTCCAGCTCCACTCCAGATTCTGCTGGACCCTGGCCCAGCCCAGGGAGAGTCCAGCACCCCCAGGCAGTGCCAGGCCCTGTGGGAACTCACTCTCATCTGTGCCCGTCAGCTGGGCCAGCTTGCGGAAGGTGCGGGACTGCGAGGTCCCGGTGCGGGGCTGCCAGTCCTCAGCATCCTCCATCAGTCGCAGCTTCCCGGGGTTGCACCCGGGGGTGCTGGGGGGCTCCAGAGGCTCCCTGTGAGTGGCAGAGGGCAGAAGCTCAGCCAGCACAAAGCACAGACCCTGCTCTGGAACAGGGAAGCACTCCAAAAGGTGCCCTGGCATATGGTAACACCTCTGCCAGACCCTGGCACTCACCGCTGCTCCACCGTGCCCCAGCTGGACCCGTGGGCATCCCTGTGGCATCAGAAAACATGGTGGCACAGCAGTCAGTGCCTGATCCATGGCTCAGCCCATGCTTTCCATAGGCACCCACAATCTCAGAGATACAAGAACCTCATGGAAATGCCGACAGCATTCACTCCTGACCAGCCTTGCAGCCATTCCCTGACCCCACATGATATCGTGCCTCAGGTACAGCGCCTGCCCTGTGACTCCAAAAATGCCCAGCAAAGTGTGTCACCAGCCATCCCTACTCATTGTGCTGCATATTAACCTCCCCAGCTTGGTGCCAGCAGTGCCCAGTGCATCTTGCCCGCACACCCATCTGGGGACAAACTGTCTGGCCAGTGGGTGTCCAGGCAGGAACCTCCCAAGGTGAAGGTCAAAGCAGTGGCTGAGCACTGGCAGTGCCTGTTGTGGGGTGAGTACAGGGTGGGCTCTGCAGCTCCACCACCACCTCAGCTCTGGGAGAGGACAAAGAGGGAGAGAAGAATTCACAACAGGGCAAAGAGTTTGCCCGGAGAAGTAGTGATGCTGAGGGGAAGGAAATGAGCCAGGAGCACTCACCCAGCTCTGCCACACCAGGCTCACAGGACAACGTGCCCCAGGTGCAGGCGTTACCCAGCGCCTCCCAACATTCCATAGCCAGGTTTTCCCAGCGCCATCAGCCTCTTCCACTTCTTGCCCAAAAGGCTAAGGTGCAGCTCAGCATCCCCAGCTCAGAGCCAGCAGTGCCCAGACACCTGGGACATGCAGCCTCAGCACATGCTCCCCTTACCTGGGCTTTTTAACAATCTCATCCTCACCATCCTCCACTGAGTGCAGCAGGAGAGAAATAGGGAGACGGCGTCAGTCTGCAGTGACTGATGCCCAGGAAAAGCAGGAAAGGAAAGGAGGAAAACCAACCTCCCCACGACCATCCCCTCACCCCATCACACAGCCCTGCTTGGCCATGGGGCAGAGCTGCCCCAGACCAGCACCACCACGAGCTCACACACAGCCCCGGGCAGCTCCCGCTCAAGGAGTGACTTGGGGCCAAAATGAAACTCCTGATGCCACATCACCCCATTGTCTCCCCCAGCTTCTGGCTATGCCAAAACAGTCCCACATCCCCAGGCAGTGCCAGGCCCTGTGGGAACTCACTCTCATCTGTGCCCGTCAGCTGGGCCAGTCTGCGGAAGGAGCGGGACTGCGAGGTCCCGGTGCGGGGCTGCCAGCCCTCAGCGTCCTCCATCAGTCGCAGCTTCCCAGGGTCATACCCGGGGGTGCTGGGGGGCTCCAGAGGCTCCCTGTGAGTGGCAGAGGGCAGAAGCTCAGCCAGCACAAAGCACAGACCCTGCCCAACACTGCAGCACAGGGCAGTGCTGCCAAAGGTGACCTGGCACATGGCAATACCTCTGCCAGACCCTGGCACTCACCGCTGCTCCACTATGCCCCAGCAGGACCCGTGGGAATCCCTGTGACATTGGAAAAAACAGCAGCACAACAGTCACTGTTTGACCATGCCTGCCATGTGTACCCACAGCCCCATGGAGGCACGAGCCACATGGAAATACTGACCAGCAGCCTTGCAGCTGCTCCACAGCTGCACAGGATGCAAAGCACCAAGACCAGTTGCTGCCCAGTACCTCCCAACATCTCCAGCAAGGTGTTGTGATTGTCACCAGCCACCCCTACCCAGGTGGGTACTTGGGGCAGGACCCTCCTGAGGTGACGGTCAGAGCAGTGGCTGAGTGCTGGCAGTGCCCATTGTGCAGCTCTGAAAACACCTCAAGTCTGGGAGAGGGGATAGAGAGGGAGGGGAGAACCCCCAGCAGTGCAAAGAGCACCCCCAGAGTGACTGCAAGCAGCAAGGGTGAAGTGGCTGTGGGGGCTGAGCCTGGCATGGGCGCCTTGTGGCTCCAACTGCTGCCCCTTACCTGGGCTTTTTAACGGGCTCATCCTCACCATCATCCACTGAGGACACCAGAAGAGAAAGGGGAGATGGAGTGAGTCTGTGGCAACTGAGGCCCAGAGACAGCAGGAAGAAAAGGGAAGGAAAGGCAGGAAAAATGCCCTCTCCTCCCACAGTCCCCCTTCCCCAACACACAGCCCTGCCTGGCCACAGGGCAGAGCACAGCTCCAGCCCAGCCACACCACCAGGAGCCCACACAGCCCTGGGCAGCTCCTGCTGGCTCAGCTGCCACAGAGGGCACAAATGGGGCCAAAATCAATGCCCTGCTGTACCAACACACCACGGCCTTTACCAGCTGCCCCAGCAAAGCTGGGCACACCTGGGCACTCAGCCAGTGCCAGGCCCTGCAGGAACTCACTGCTGCTTGCGCCCATCATCCGGGCCAGCTTGCGAAAGGAACGGGACTGGGAGGTCCAGGTGTGGGGCTTTGTGTCGACAATGTCCTCTAACATCCTCAGCTTCACTGGGTCACACACAGTGTCACTGGGGGGCTCCAGAGGCTGTGGGGGCTGCCTGTGAGTGACAGAGGGCAGGAGCTCAGCACCAGGATTGGACCCTGCTCTGGAACAGGGAAGCATCCCCAAAGATGCCCTGGCACATGCCAACACCTCTGCCAGACCCTGGCACTCACCGATGTTGCCCTGTGCCCCAGTTGGACCCATGGGCATCCCTGTGGTATCAGAAAGAATGGTGGCACAGCAGTCAGTGTTTGACCAGCCCATCCCTCCCCATACACATCCACAGCCCCAGAGACGCACAAGCCTTGTGGAAATGCTGACAGCATTCACTCCTGACCAGCCTTGCAGCCATTCCCGGGCCCCATATGACATTGTGCCCCAATTCTGGTCTAGTTCCCTACCCTGCAACCCCTGACACACCCAGCAAGGTGCTGCCAGTGCCACCAGCCACCCTTGCCCACTGTGTCCAGCAAACTGTGCTGCATCTTGGCCTCCAGCTTGGTGCCAGCAGTGCCAAGCAGGTCCTGCCTGCACACCCAGCATGAGGACACCTCATGTGGGGACAGCCTGCCTGGTAGGACCCTCCTCAGGTGACCGTCAGAGCAGTGGCTGAGCAGTGGCAGTGCCTGTTGTGGGGTGAGCCTGTGGCTCTGCCAACAGCTTGGCTCTAAGAAAAAGGAAAGGATGGGATAGAGGGTGGAGGATAAGGAGAGGAAAGAAGAAACAGCAACAGGGCAAAGAGCTTCCCCTGAGTGACTGCAAGCAGTGAGAGAGAACAAGCCTTGTGGGCTGAGCCCACGGTGGGCACACTGTGGCTCCTGCTGTTGCCCTGGCACACGATCCCCTTACCTGGGCTTTTTAATAAATTCATCCTCACCATCCTCCACTGAGTGCAGCAGGAGAGAAAGGGGGAGATGGAGTCAGTCTGCAGCAACTAAGGTCCAGGAAAAGCAGGAAGGGAAAGGAGGAAACCAACCTCTCCACTCTCCTGGCCCCATTGTACAGCCCTGTCTGGCCACAGGGCAAAGCACAACCCCAAAGCAGCCCACACACAGCCCCGGGCAGATCTCGCTGGCTCAGCTGCCCTCAGGGAGTTAATCTGGGCCAAAACCAACACTCCCGGGTGCTACATCACCCTTCTGCTCCTCCCAGCTTCTGGTTATCCCAGAACAGTCCCACATCCCCAGGCAGTGCCAGGCCCTGTGGGAACTCACTCTCATCTGTGCCCGTCAGCTGGGCCAGCTTGCGGAAGGAGCGGGACTGCGAGGTCCCGGTGCGGGGCTGCCAGTCCTCAGCATCCTCTAACATCCTCAACTTCCCAGGATCACACCCAGGCGTGCTGGGGGGCTCCAGAGGCTGCGGGGGCTCCCTGTGACAGAGGGCAGGAACTCAGCCAGCACCAAGCACAGACCCTGCTCCAGCACAGGGCAGTGCTGCCAAATGTGCCCTCACCAGATCCTGGCACTCACCACTGCTCCACCGTGCCCCAGCTGGACCCATGGGCATCCCTGTGATATTGAAAAGAACGGTAGCACAGCACTCAGTATTTGACCATGGCACAGCCCATCCCTCACAGATGCACTCTGGAACTAGGAGAAGTCAGAGACACTCACCCAGCTCTGCCCTGCTATCCTGCAGCCCCACACCAGGCTCACAGCACGCTGTCCAGCTGCTGCCTAGCACCTCCCAATACCCCCAGCAAGGTGTTCTCAGTGCACTAGCCTTCTCCAGATCCCTTTTCCTCAAGAAGCAATGACAGAGCTTTGCTTCCCCAGCTTGGTGCCAGCAGTGCCCAGCAGGTCCTACACAGCACAGGACATCTTGTCTGGCTGGTGGGTGTCCCAGCAGGACCCTCCCGAGGTGATGGCCAGAGCAGTGGCTGAGCTCTGGCAGTGCCCACTGTGGCGTGAGCGCAGGGCGAGCTCTGCAGCTCCACCAACAGCTCGACTCTTGGACAGGGAGAGAAAAAACAGCAACAGAGCAAAGAGCTTCCCCTGAGTGACTGCAAGCAGCAAGAGAGAACCAGGTGTGTGGGCTGAGCCTGGAGTGGGCACCTTGTGGCACCTGCTGCTGCTCCAGCACATACTCCCCTTACCTGGGCTTTTTAACAAGCTCGTCCTCACCATCCTCCACTGAGCAAAGCAGGAGAGAAAGGGGGAGATGGAGTCAGTCTGTGGCAGCTGAGTCCCAGAGACAGCAGGAAGGGAAAAGGAACAGGAAAGGGAAAAGGCCCTCTCCTCCCACTGCCCACCTGTCCCAACACACGGCCCAGGGGCAGAGCACGGCCCCAGCCCGGCAGCACCACCACGAGCCCCACAGCCCCAGGCAGCTCTGCCTGGCTTAACTGCCCCACAGGGCCAAAACCAACACTCCACCAGGCACCAAAGCCTTTATCCAGCTCCAGTTTCCCCAGCAAAGCTGGGCAGTCAGGCAGTGCCAGGCCCCGTGGGAACTCACTGGCGTCTGCGCCCACCAGGCGGGACAGTTTGCGGAAGGAACGGGACTGGGAGGTCCAGCTGGGGGGCTTTGAGTCGTCAATGTCCTCTAACATCCGCAGCTTCACTGGGTCACACACAGGGGTGCTGGGGGGCTCCAGCAGCTGTGGGGGCTGCCTGTGAGTGACAGAGTCATCTGTCAAATCTGACAGACCTGCTGGGGCTGTCCCCCACCTTCCCCAGCACAGAATCACAGCACACCAGTACCAGAGACGTCACACCTTGTTTTATAATCCACCCCCCAACTCCTCCCTCACAAAGGCTGGGCCTGTGAAGGACTGACTCTGGAATGACCACCACCACTCCTGGCAATTTGAAACTGGCCCCAAGGGCCAGAAAGAGAAAGGACAGAGCAAGAATAAGCCAAGGTCAAAAAACACCATCAGGGAAGCTGCACCACAGCCGTCTATGGCAGTGCCACCTGGCCACGGGCACGGTGCCCAGCACAGCCCATCAGCCCTTGCCCAGCACAGCCACATCTTGGGGAACAGGGAATGGATCACACACAAGGACACTCCAGGGCCCCAGCAGCTGGCAGAGACAGGCAGCTGTCCCCTCTACACTGAGGACAGCTTGGTGCCAGAAGTGACCCACCCACGTGGGCAGAGCAGTGCCTGCTGCCCATCCCCAGGATGGCCCTGCCCTGAAGGACAGGGCACTGGCAGGGAAGAGGCATGCAGGGAGGATAGAGAGAGCAGGTAAAAGGCTTACTGACTTGTCAAGGCTCAGCACCTGTAGGGAGAGGGAAAGAGAAAGGGAGGAGAGAAAGAAAGAAAAAGGAAGGTGAAATTAGACCTACAGCACCCAAGAAGTTTCCAGAGCTCACCTATAGCCTGCATTAGCCCCCTATCCCTGAGTCTCACACCCAGCTCACCCAGGGCTGAGAGCACACTGGGACACAGGGGCAGATGCCAGTGGACCAGACTGTGCTCCCACAGCCCCCACAACAGGCCTGGATGCCCAGGGCAGTCCATGCTACATCCTACCCCATTGCCCAGTTCCTGGGCACTACGGCAGCTCTGGCAGGAGGAGCAGGGACCAGCAGCTGCTGCACACATGTGGCAGAGCCAGGGAACAGAGTGGCAGGGCTGGAGGCCATCACTCTGCCCAGCCCCTTCCAGCAGCCAGGGGAACAGCAGGACTTCCCCAGGCAGGCACCGGCCGGTGGTCACAGCCAGCCACCGTTTCCCTGCCACTGCAGATGCCAGCCAGTGTCCTGCCACAGCCACCATGTCAAGCCTGGGAGGAGCCCCCACAGGCTGACACGTCCCTGAGCAAGGGACCAGCACAAGCGTGGCTGCGTGTCCCTGTGTGAGACAGAGACAGTTCTGTTGTGCCACCTCAGCACCAGCCACCGGTTGCTCCGGCACGGGCACTGTCACCCGCTCCCACCCAGGGTGCCTGGCATGCAAGGCGCAGCAGGGCCGGGCAGCAGGCTGCCCCCGATCCTCAGGGAGCAGGATGGACAGCAACATACCCGTTGTGCTGGGGGGTGCAGGCGGGCGCCAGGGGCGCGTAGGTCACGGGTTTCGTCACCAGCCCGGGCCGTGGGTTCGGAGGTGAGCCGGCCCCGAAGGGCCGAGCTGTTTTGTTGAGGGCGGTGCTGGGAGCGAAGTTATATTTCAGGGGTTCAGAGCAGGGGAGTGAGTCCTGAGCGAGACAAAACACACAGACACGGGCTCACACGTCAAGCAGCATGCAAGGGGCAGCCCTGGGCCAGGCAGCGCAGCAGGCAGCCAGGGAGGAAAGCCGGACAGCACGTGCACCTTGGAGACCAGGCTCTGCCAGGCTGGCACTCACTCCACTGGGCACCTGGCCCAGTGACAGCAGGTCACAAACCCAGCCTGAGGGTCACTTGGAGATTAGTAGGTGCCCCGGACACTCGCTGCTGCCCGTGGCAGGGCGGTGCATGCACACACGCCGACTGTAAACATCCCATGGCACAAAGCTGAACGCATGCAGGTGGCTTCTGTCCAGGAGCCACCAGTCACCAGCCCCAGCCCTGCCTCCCTGTGCCAGGGCACTCCCCAGCACTAGCAAACATGGTGCTGCACCTGCCCAGCCTCCTCCCCTGTGCTGGCCCCTCTGCATCCCTGCCCACACCCAGCACCAGCAGGGGCACAGACAATCTGGGCCCAAGCACCTACGGTGCACATCCCGCTCCCTCTGATCCTCCACGGTGCCAGAGGTCAGAGCTGCTCCTCCAGCTGGGCTTTCTAGACCTTGAAACACACCCCAGCCCCCTAAAAGCCCCAAGAGCAAGCCCATTTGTTTCACTACACTGAGATTCCCTTCCCCTGAGACGAGGCTGAGCTGCCACTGCGGCACCAGGAGCCACACGTACCTTCTGCGGCTTCCCCAGCTGGTTCTGGGCTCTGCAAGAGAGGAGACAGATGGGCAGGTACTGGAGTTGATCCAGACACCACCAGCATGCTGGTACCCCACGGATGCAGCACCCAGCCGAGGGGAAACATGGCCAGCTGGCACTGCCCTGTGGCTTGCAGTCAGGTTAAGCCTTATCCAGGCAAGCCCTTGGACACAGCCAGGGACTTCCAGGCTCTAAGTAAGGAGCAGTGATGCTGGGAGATGGTGATACCAGGAGGTGGCACTGGGCAGAGAGCCTTGATTACACCCCAGTCATACCAGAGCCCCATGTTTGAGGGACCCACAATTCCTACCTGCTCAAGGTGAGGCAGAGCCTGTCCCCACAGGCACGGATCCTGTTCTGGGCCTCGATGTGTGTCATGGCACTGGTGCTCTCCCCGTCGATGTACAGCACCCAGTCGCCCACTCCCACGCCGGCCTGGGCTGCCTTCCCACCCAGAGTCAGCTGCAGGACAGACAGAGTTAGGGACAGCTGGAACAGCCAAGCAGTGACATGGGAGCAGAGGAACATCCTCGTGAGGGCAGAGGCCTTCCAAGACCCAGGATCCCCAGCCCAGCACAGGACACCACACCGACCTGACCCAGGGGAAAGCGGGGATCCCCAGATTACTCTTCCCCTTGGCAGCAGCAGAAGGCAAAGCACTTCTCCAGGGCACTGCCCAGCCCTTTCCCTTTGGCATGCTTGGGGACCCTGCCAGCACCCCAGGGCCTCATTGCCGTGACACCAAACACAGAGGCAGTGCGGCCTCAGCCTCAAAGCCCAGCCTCACCCTGGAGTCATCCCTGTGGTCCCGGGGCAGGAAGAGAGCACAGTGAGTCAGGGCAGCCCACATCTCACTGCAAACCACAGGCATGTCCAGCCCTTCGCCTGGGGCGGGGAAGGACAGGGGAGGCACCCCTTGGGCACTCCCCCCAGCCGCCCGCGCTCCCAGCCCGTTCCCACCAGGCACAGACATTACCTCATTCCCACAGAGGAGCAGGAGCCCTGCCGGGGCAGGGAGACACCCGCCCCCACCCATGTGGCCCCGCTGGGACAGCCGCGAGCACAGCCACAAGTCTCTGTTCCCGGCCACGGTGCCAGGGATGCGCCTTGGCCCCGCTATGGCTCCATGGCACGGCTGAATGTCAAACCCGTGCTGGGAAGTGGAGGCTGCCCTGCCCTCCCCTCCCACCAGGGATGCACAGCCAGAGGCGAGCAGGGCCCAGAGCACTGCACACAACTCCCAGGCACTGACAGACAGACAGACAGACGTGGGCAGGCTGCAGCCATTCCTGCTCCTCCAGCATGGAAGAACTCGAGGCGCTTGGACCCAGACCAAGTATTTCCTCAAGTCCTGTTAGACATGAACATAAAAGGAGCGAGCCAGATTCCCAGCACTGTCAGAGGGCTGAAAAATCCCTGCCACAGAGTCCTGGCCCCTCCTTGCAGAACCCGGCTCACCCCAGAGCCACACATCCCTTCTCTAGGCCAACAACAGCCCTCCATGCAAGGCCAACACCACACATGGACTGGATGTGGCCCAGTTCCACCTGCATCCCACTGCTATTCCCAGCAGGACATGAGTATCCCCACATTGCCCTCCCATTCCTCCAGCCTGGCACAGCAGGGTGCCCTGAGCAGCAGTGATGCCCCCAGCCCCTGGCCATGCTGCTGCAAGCCCCAGCTTGCTGCCCTGGAGGGCTGGGGAAGGCACGGGGCAGCTGCGTGGGTTTGGAGGCAGCAGCAGGAGTTGGGAGAGGTTTTCACACGACTGCCCTGGAAGGGGAGAGCACGTCAGGCTGCGTCATGAAGCCTCACCCAGCCTGGTCAGCACTTCCCGTCCCCCTCCATGCCAACGTGCAGGAAACCCCTCTGACAGGTACCCTCCTACTTCCCACCCAGACCCGCTAACCAGGGCTTCCTTCCTCACCTCTCCACCCAGTCTTTTGTTCTCTGCACCTCCATCACCACATCCAGAGAGGTGCTCACCTACTGCCCCGTCCAGAGGCCTCCAGGACAGAGCCTCCCTCAGTGCATCCCTCAGTGCCTTCCCACCAGTAGCACCCAATGTCTCTCCTCTTTCTCAGCTGGCAGATGCCAGGATGTGCCATGCAGCATCCAGCTACCCAGACTGCAGTCCTTATCCCAGCTCCAGCACAGGGACCATGGTTTACAGCCTGCCTAGCCAGGGGGCCAGCACCCTAGCAGAGCCCCGTACCACAGGAGGTACATGCCAGAGGGCCACGAGCTGAAACAGCCCCACTGCTCACCCAGGAGTGCCACAGGGATGGACACAGCCGAAAGTCAAGCCAATGGACACATCAGCATTGTCCTGTGCTGCCCACCCCTGCAAACCTGCAGATCAGGGCCCCACTGCAGCCCACAAAACTGGGGCAGGATGCTTCCCTCCAGCCTGCTGCGACAGGTCAAGCTCACGGGAAGCAGTGGCCAGGGACAGCAGCATGCTCTGGGCAATATGGGTCTGGAGATGCCTCTGGAGTGCAGACCAGCACAGGCTCACACCTTCCCATCAGAGCACACCGCCCTGCCATGCAGCCCAGCCTCACCAGAGAGCCCCCAAAGCTGGCTGCATCCCCTGGGAATGTCCCTCCTGCTCCTGCCCTGCCCAGGACACGGCAGCACTGCCCAAGCCTCACCAAGCACTGCTTCACGAGGCCCCTGCCCCAGGCTCTGGGAGGTTCCTCCATCCAACCAGACCCTTTGTTAAGAACTGGCTCGCAGCCAAGAGAAACATTTTTTAGAGAATAAACTCGCTGAATCTGTCTCTGCGTGCTCAGCAGAGATCAGCAGGCCCCAGGGCAGCGACACAGGCGACTCCAGCCTCACGCAGTGCCCTCAGGGCCCGTGCTCCACGCTGGGATGCTGTGGAGATCTGTGCCCTCTGGGGCAGGTGTGCAGTGCCCGGCTCGTGCCAGGGGCAGGTCCCCACGCAGTACTCGATGCCACAAGCAAAGCTGTCCTTGGAGAAGCAGCCTGCGTGCCAGCTGCCCCAGCGCCAGCGGCACAGGCGATGCAGTCACATTCCAAGGCTTATAAGGCAATTGCGTGGCCAAAGCTGTGGCCAGCACCCGCCCAGGGACGGGGACCTGCACACAGCCAGGGTCAAACCCGGGAATATTGCAGCGGGAGAGGCTCAAACCAGCGGCCACGGGCACAACCAGCTGTGGCACAATGGCTCTCACTGGAGAAATGGGAGAGTTTTGTGGAGGGAGTCACATCCCTGTGCAGGCAGCAGTGCAGCTTCCTCCTCTCCATGCCCATTTCAGGAGTGACCCCAGGCACAGAGCTGGGAGCCATGCTGTGGAAAGGAGGGCAGAAGGGCACTGGCTCAGTGCTGGGATGCCAAGCCCACTGCTGGGGTGCAGACCAGGAAGCCAGTCCCACATCTCAGAGAGCAGATCCCCTCCCGCTGTGGTGGGAACGCTCCGGAAGGGGCCTCCCCTGCCCCCCTCTGCTGAGGCTGTGCAGAATTTCACGTTCCTGCCTGCAGCTCTCTGCCCGGAACACCCCCGTGCTGGGCTGCAGCTGATAAGGGACCAAGGAGGCTACGTGGAGCCAGGCAGGGCAGGATGCAGCATTCCCGGGGCCCCAGCTCATCCACATCCCTCGTACAGCTCTGCCTCAGCCACTGCGGCCTCCCTCCCACAGAGGCAGGAGGAAGGATAGGTGTCACCAGCTTTGGTTTCTCTTACCCTGGAGATGGAGAGCGGCATGCTGAAATCCTTCCCTCCCTGCAGCCTGAAGCCCCAGGGTGCCGGCCCATTCAGCATCACCTTGTAGGACTCCATGTCGCCCATCTCTGCAAGGGAAAAGGGTGTGATCCCAGTGTTAGGGTATGTGGAAACAATGCAGGGAGAGCAGGCGAGGAGAGGGCTCGGTGCCTGGCAGGGTAGGACAGGAGGTAGGTCACGTTTCCAGCTGTAACTCCACCCTGACCATCCTACACTGTGGTTAGAGACGCACCCCAAATCCATCAGCATCTCCTCCAGCAACGTCAGCACTGAGGGGCCCAGGCTAACACTGACTAGTGCCAGGGAGCCAGGCACAGCCCTGCTGCCACCCAAAGTGGAGTGTCTGTGGGCTCTACTCTCTTCCCGAACCTGGGATGTACTCTCTTTTCCAGCACCCCAGGAACTTCTGTGAGCTGCTGGGAGCCAAGGCTGTTCAAACCACAGAGAAGCAACAGCAGGTACAGAGCGATAGGAACCAGAAGCATTTTTGCCGGATGAATTAGCAGCAGCAGCAGCACAGGAGCTGCGTGATGCCACCCGAGGCGCCTGGCAGAGCAGCCGGGCTGGCGCTCCGGCAGCCGGCCGAGCAGATGCTCCCTGGGAGCGAGCCCATCTCCGGGGCTTCGGCAGGAGGGAATCCCGGCACTCCCCTGCCTGACAGCTGTCAGCCGGCCAAGGCTCCGGACAGACGGGCCAGCACCAGCCTCTCGTCACCTTTTACCTGGAAGAAGCCGCCAGAACCCCTACGAACGGCCCCAGGACCTTCCTCCCGAGGGCGGACAGGGCCGGCCGCGGGGCTCCCCACGCCTCGCACGGGCCGGCCGCAGGGCCGGGGGCCAGCGTGCCCCCGCTCTCCCCGGGCCGGTGCGGTCTATATAAGGCGTGTAAGACGACACCAGCCCGCTCCCCGCTCGGGAGGGCCGGGGGAAGAGCTGCGTGTCAGGCATTCCCGGCGCCCGGGAGCCGCGCAAGCCCCGGCGAGGCGCCGGGACGGGGCGGCCCGGAGCGGGCGGATACCCCCACCCCTCCCCGGCGGGACGGGGCCCGGCTGCACCGGGGGTCCCCAGCGTGCACAGGCTGGGCAGCTGTGATTATTGCTGGGAAGCCCCAATCCGCGGAGGGCCTCGGGACCCCTCCCCATCCCACACCGCTGCCCCCCTCCAGGGGTCGGGGACGCCGGCTCTGCCCTGCACGGGCCCGACCCTGACCACCCACCTTCCCCTTAAGCCAGGCCACAGGCCTCAGCCCTCCACCCCTCACGCCCCCATCCCCCCCGGCAGAGGACGGAGCCCCCCGCCACAGCCCGGCTCCCCGGACTCACCCGCGGCCAGCGGGGCCCGGCCAAGCGGGCGGGAGCGGAGCGGTGCGGGCCGACGCGGGACTCGAACCCGGGCACCGCCCCCGCCCGGCCCGGCCCCACCATATATAGGATCGGGAGGGGGCGGAGCCAGCGGGCGTTTTGGCCAATCACCGCGCGCGCCTCTGCCTGCCGGGGCGGGCACGGCGGCGCCCTCTAGCGGCGAGGCTCGAGCTGCCCCGCCCGCCCCGCTCACTCCTCGCAGCAGCGGCGGAGCCGAGTCCGAGTCCGGGAAGGGCCTTTATTGACCGAACGGCACCGACCGGCACCGGCCACATCAAGCCCAGTCTCGCGCTCCGGGGCTCTCCCTGCTCAGCAGCCGCACCAGCTTGGCCCGAAGAGTGCTGTGAGGCTTGTGCCCGGAGCGCCCTGACAGCGCCTCCTGCCCTCCGCGCCCCCAGCCCGCAGCGCGGGGGGTCTGTGCCATGGCGGCCCGGTTGTCATAGACGGGCCCCCCCTCACTGCTGTGGCCTTCAGGGGCCTGTCGGCGCCCCAGCTCCCACTGCCCTTCCTCCTCCTCTTCCTGGGCCCCGGCTGGATGTGGTTCTGCAGTGAAGATGTTCTCGTAGAGATGCTCAGGGAGCGGCTTCCCCACGGCCCAGGGCTCCCCAGAGCCTGGCTGCCCTGACACAAAGAGAGGCTGCTGGCCCCGGGCGATGGAGGCATAGACGATGGGGCATGAGGCCTCTGGCTCTGGTGGGGTGAAGCGGAGGAGGTTGGCAGGGGGGTGGGAGGCAGGCTGTGTGCCCCCCACGGCTGGGCTGGGCTGGGGATCATCGCTCCCAGGCCCCCAGGGCTGGGGCTCAAGGCCCTGTGCAAAGAGCTGGGGGTCTGAGACACAGAAGAGTCTGGGGTCCAGGGTGTCCTTGCCCTGCTGCTGGCAGGCAATGGCAGCAGCCACAGCCCGGCAGAGCTCAGGGGCCCGTGGGGTGCTGAAGGTGAAGGTGCCCTCGCCAGAGTCACTGCGGCGGCCAGCCTCGAAGGAGAAGACAGCCTGCAGGGTCAGAGGGGAGGGTGAGGGGCTGCCACCCACCCTGGGCAGGCAACAGCCCCAAGAAGGAGTGGGGGACTCACCTGATCCTGGCCAAACTTGCGAAGGAAGGGGTAGGGCCAGGTGAGCAGGGGCTGGCGGGACTGGGGGTCCTTCAGCGTCAGGCTCTGGGGAAGGGCCGAGAGCAGGTAGTGCCCGTGCAGCCCGCAGCGGGTGGCCGCCTCCGTCTGGACCACCAGCACCAAGAATTCAGTCACTGTGGGAGCCAAACAAGCCAGGGGTCAGCAGTGCAGCACTGAACTGCAGCCCACCCCAGCCCTCTTCACCACCCCTGCACGTACGGTCCTGCCAGGACGAGTAGAGGGAGTTCTCCTCCATGGGGACAGCAGGGCCGGGCTGGGTCCTGGCACTACTTGGCACTGTCTCTTTTGCACCCTGAAACAAATGGATATGAGTATGACCTGGGACGGGGCAGGGGGGGAAGAACAAATCCCCTGCCTGCCCTGGAGCTTCCCAGCTTACCCAAGCCGGTACCTGGAAGGCCAGCTGGCAGAGCTGGGTGATCCATTCATCACGCTGCTCGGCCGCCAGCACATAGCTCTTCTCGGTGGTGGTGAGGTAGAAGGCGGCGGTGGCTTTGGGGCAGCTCTCCGTGCCCGCCGGGCCCACGGAGACGCAGTCAGAGAGGCGGATCACCCGGCGGGCACACCGCTGCAGGGACATCTTCTCTGGGATCGTGCCATCATCCCGCACATCAAACTTCTCCATGCGGGCCACGCCGGACGGGCTGGCAGCAAACAGCTGGGCTCGCATCTTCCTCCAGCACCTCTAATGCATGGAAAGGGCAAACACAGGGAAAAAGCGGGTCAGCAAAGAGCTGGCTGCTGCATCTGGCAGCGCTGCCCTCCATACAGGGCACGAGGGGCATAGGGGAGTCCCGGCCCGCACCCACCAGATGCTGTTGGAGGGCACAGAGAACAGGGGCCAGCACAGAGCCCTGAACTGTGGGGCAGGGCAGGCCCAAAGCTGGGCTGAGGGGGGCCTTGCCCCAAGCGGGCTTGGCATGGCTCACTCGGTGAGTCACACTCACTCCCGGCTCCCTGAGCACCAGGTCCTGCTCTTTGTTCCCTGCTGCAAGTGCTGGCCTGCCGACCTGCAGCTGAGCTCTCAAGCTGTTCTCAGGACAGACCCTGATGCAAATTAAAGCCATTTTGAGCTGCAAAGGCTCCTGCTGGCAGCCTCACATCTGCTGAGCAGCCTGCTTCCTCCCAGGGGAGCCTCTGCAGCACCAGCACCTTCCCAGTCTGTCATGGGATAGCGGGGGCGCGTGCCACCATGTACCTCAAAAGTGCAGCAGAGCCTCCGCCCTGCAGGAACCAGATGCAGCCAAGCACCCAAAATACCCACCACCCCCAGCCCACCTGCCTCTTCATGGCAGGGCACCAGCTCCTCACACACAGGGCTGCCTGCTGTGCTTCCAGGGCTTGGTTCTCGTTCAGCAGGGAGGTCAGAGTGCGATTGCAGCCCCACACATCCACTGAGACACCCACAGGATATGGCCACCCTGCCATGGTGTGAGCAGTGTGCCAGCAGGACCTACTTTGCCAACACCCGACAGCTCCCTGGAGCTGGCCCGACCCCAGGTACTCTCACCGTGTCACCCATACCCTGTCCCGAGGGCTGTGGCACTCAGTGACCCCTCCAAGGGCACAGAGGAGCAGCCCAAGCCACGAGGGTGTTGCTGGATGGTGCTGGCCCCACAGGGCCAGGCCGATGGGGGCACAAGGACATATCCCACATGTCCCCAGGGCCCCACTCACACACACACACACGCTGGAGCTGCGCCATATTAACGCATGTTTATTCTTCCACTGAGACTCACATGGTGACCAAGCAAGAAGAACCCAACAATGGGCGAGCCAGAGTGGGTGCCCACACAGATGAGTCCCCCCAACCCCACGGGAAAGCCCCACTTATGGAGCTGCTGAGCCCAAGCTCCCCCAAGGGCAGCTCCAGTAGGTCTAGCTCCTTCCCAGGTCGCTGAGGGCCCAGTCCCGGGCCCAGCATCGTGACAAATCAGGGCAAACCCTCTACCAACCCCAAATCCACCCTTTACCTTTCCAAATTTGGTGTGCTGAACATAAAGGATCCCATCCTTCACTGGTCTCTCCATGGGCCCAGTTCACCCTGGCAGCCAGGCAAGGATAAGGGACTCGGGCTACCCACAGCGGAGAAAATGTGACTGCTGCAGTCGAAGGAAAGGCATGGGGCAGACTTCCGTCTCACAGAGACTTCCCCTTTTTGGGGTGTGGGATGGGGGGCAGAGGCTGGGCCACAGGAGGTGTCCATGTGCCCGCCCTCCCTCTCACAGCAGGGCAGTGGGGCAGAACGCGGGGGCAGAGCACAGGAAGAACCTCGGGGAGTGCCTGACAACGAGCACAGCATGCTCCACCTCACCCCGGCTGCATCCTCCCAGCATGTCTGGGGAGACAGGAACAGCCACCCAAGAATGTGCAATTCCAGGTGAGTAACATGGGCCCAGAGAAACTGGGTGGACTTCTGAGGAGCAACACAAGATCCTGACCTCACCACTGCAGGGGGATGGCAGAGGCAGCAGGCAGCATACCAGTTGCCCCACCTGGGGCTTTCTCTTGCCCTGAGGCACTGCTACCTGCTTGCCCAACACACTGCAGCACCGCTCCATACATTTCCTTCTGGGCCAGGAGCTTCGTCAGGCTGAGCTGGCAACAGTCCCAGTGAACAAAATTCTGGAAAAGGGGCCACAGCAGTGCAAGACAGGCCTCTGGGCTGAAAGGAAACCCAGGCCCATCCAGGGGCAGCACACTGTCCAGGCTAGAAGTCCATAGAGCTGTGGGCCAGGTAGTCCTTGCGGCCGATGTTGCTGACTTGCTTGGTCTGCATGGCCTCCAGCTTGGGGCAGTCGGTGATGCGATGGCCCAGGCCGCCACAGAAGGCACAGCCCCGCTCACCTGCAACGGGAGGGATGGGGTCAGGGCCAGGACAGTGCCACACCAGGGCAGCACAGTGCCACACCAGGACAGCAGCCCCCACTCCAGAGCAAAGGGGCTACACCAGTGTCTCCCCAGTGCTGTGGCACTGGGAGCTGGAGGGTTCCGTCTGGAGCCCAGGTTTTGCAGCAGCCCCACGAGGGTCTCTGTGTCAGCCTGGGGTCTCTCACCATTGATGTCCAGCATGGTCTCGTCCCCACAGTGCAGCACCTGGAGCACAGGTGGCACCTTCTGCTTTGCCTCCAGGAGCAGGGCCTTCAGGTCCATCAGCACTGACTCGTCTGGGGACAGAGACATAGGTCAGGCAAAGCCATCCTGCTTGCTCACAACACCCCCTTGGCATTGCCCAGCTGCCTCCTCCAGCCCCCAGCCCCGTGCTGTTCCTCACCACAGGCCTTGTTGATGAAGGTGGTGGCGATGCCGGTGTTGCCTGAACGGCCCGTACGCCCGATGCGGTGAACTGTGGAGACAGGGACAGGATCAGCCCCGGTGAGCACAGTGTGACAGACCATCCCTGCCCCAAGACACTGCAGACAGGCACAGAGCCTTGCTGGCCTCCAGGCCCCTCCTCCAAGGCCCAGTGCCTACCATAGTTCTCAATCTCCTCTGGCATGTCGTAGTTGATGACGTGCTGGATGGCTGGGAAGTCCAGGCCCTTGGAAGCGACGTCAGTGGCAACCAGGACATCCTTCTTCCCATCCCGGAAGGCCTCAATGGCTTTTGTCCGTTCTTCCTGATCTGCAAAGGCCCAGCAGAGAAGACCAGTGAGGGCACAGCTCCCAGCCCTACCTACTGCAGCAAACACTGTGGCCTCAGAGTCAAGCATTGCTTCCTTGGGCAGCCTTTCTCCCAATGGGGGAGCAGAGGGGCCTCTACATCCCACAGGAACCTGCACTGTGTTTATGCCTGCTTTGTACAATGTGGAGCTCACTCCTGACACTGTCACAGCCCTTCCTCACACCATCAACAACTGCTGCAGGCTGGCACCTTCCACGGCCACACACATTCCTGGTAGGAGTGGGGTCACACCAGCAGCCCAGGCCGCTCTGGAACCCCCACTGAC